AAGCACTTCCAGGTCCCGGACTCGCACGGTACGGAAACCAGATGCAGAGCCCGGATGAGCGTCAGCGCCTGGCTTTTAAGGTGGGCTGGGAATAGGAATCAGGTGCACAAGAATAAAGTCTTAAGTGAAAGGGCTGGAGCACCCTTAAGGAGGGGGGACTATAATCGTGACACAAAGGCCGTTTCAGAGCCTCCAAAGACTTTTCCCGACACATTTTCTTCCTGCAAATGAACAGCCTAAAAGCAGAAGACGGACTACTACTGCGCCAGAGAGTCACAGTGAGAGACGTTCATCCAGGAACTGTACAAGAACCTCCCCAGTGACACAAACTGAAAGCTCAGCATGGCAAGGCAGCATGTGTCAACACTGCTATACTGATGACTCACGCACATGTGGGCGCCCTGCTGGACATCCACACAGTTCAACTGCGTTGCTGGAGTAGGTGTTGCCTTCAGAGATCGGTGCCATGAAGTGAGAAGCATCATGGTTACTGTACATAAGCACTCCAGTGCAAATCACTTCTTCACATACTTCCCTATTACACTGCTTCCCTGGAAAAAGGACAAATAAACCTTTCACCACAGCTACATATCATGGGAAAAGCACACTGATGTGATAGGGAAAGAATCTTGGTGATATCACGATTGAAAGCACAGTGACAGTTAAGCTCAAATACCGTATATATCGTGACATTTGACCTGTGAGTGTTCCCCATCCCATCATTTATATAACTAAAGTTTTATATCCTGTATTTCTTAAATGTTTTTGCAGTTTTTGCTTGGTCATGGTCACATGCAAAGCGTCCTGTGGATGAGGAATTAACTGGCTATTCCACACCTGCACAGCAAAAGGGCTTCAGATGTCAGTGAGCTTAAAAAAGAGACTGCTCGTATTATACCTGAAAACAAAAGCAATCTATTCTTGTTTTGTACTTTGATCAAATCTTAAGTGAAATCTGCAAAGGTTTTAGTGGTGTTCCAGTGCGAATGCTCACATCAATGGGCTTTGACTGCACCACCAGGGGGCAGCATTGCTTAAGATTTTTATTACCATTTTTGTTGAGACGCCAGGAACGAACAAATGGCACTGGGGAGGTTAAATATGACTGGATTATTCATCCAAAACACCGTAAGCAATGATAGTTTTATTTTTGTCAAGTGTGTCAAGGACACCCTCTGACATTTGTCTAGGGAGTTACTAATATGAAGGAACAAGAAAAGGTTTATTCCATGCTGAAAAGAAAAGAGACAACATTCTTAGCTCTTTACTTTTCTTTTCAGCATGGAATAAATATTTTCTTGTTCCTTTGCAGCTTATGCACGCTGACGCAGCTACCTACATGAACTGTTACTAGTATGAAGTCATCACCTGCTCCATGACCAGTAACGATATGCACTGGATTCGCCAGGCTCCTGGGAAAGGGCTGGAGTGGATTGGTGCAATCTGGTATGGTGGAGGCACAGCTTAAACCGATCTACTTAATTCACCGGGTCATCATCAGCAGAGACAGATCCAGTAACATCCTGTACTTACAGCTGACCAGCCAGAGCACTGAGGACACAGCTCTGTATTACTGTGCAAAATCTTGCATGATAAAAATTCTGAAATCTATCACTTTAATAACTCTATAGAATAATGAAAATGTTCTTTAAAATGTTTTCCATAAAATGTTTTTTCACTCAGATTTAGCACTTTCCACTGTCTGTAGTGTAAGATTGTGGGAGTGGAAGGGGCCGCGGTGAGCACCGGTAAAAAGTCAACGCCCCTAACCGAGGGATGGAAGCACCAGTGTGTGGTCAGCAAGAACCGAAAATAACACAAAAAGGGGGGAAAATGAGAACAAAAAGCAAAAAGAAAAAATGTGCAGCTGTGTATCACCCAGGCTGGGCTTACCCTATTCAACGGGCTCCCGCCTGGGAAAAAGAACATAGCAGCAAACTGGACTTAATTGTTTAATGGGTTCCAGTCTGATCGAGCTGGGAGCGCAAGTCCAAAACTAGATAGACAGATACTTTATTGATCCCGTGAGGGAAATTGCAGTGCAACAGCAGCTTAACACAGACAACACAGACACAGTGTAACAAATGATACAATAATAATAATACAATACAATCAGTACAGTGAGATGTGCACTGAGAAGAGTTACTCACAGTCCAGAACACACAAAGAACAAACCAGAACAGACTCAACATGTGAAAAAGGTTAGCCTGCCGCCAGGTAGAGATACATGACAGGACAGGCAAAGAGAAAAAGAAAATCCAAACGAAAAGAAGGAAAACGATGGCCTTACGCTGGTCCAATCCCCCTCTGGGACTGCCAGTGGAAGTTTGTCCCCTTCTGGGGTGGCCCTGCTCGTCCCTCCGGGGAGGTGTTCAGTGTGTCTTTAAAGAGCCCTCACAGCTGTGGCTCCTCCTCAAGTAGCCAGAACAGCTGTGGCTATTAAGCCAACGCATCGCCCTTCATCCAGTCCTCCACCTCCACACTAAACACGCCCCCGCGTACTGCCAGAGGGATCATATGCAAAACAGCGCTGTAAAAAAAACATTTTGCTTCTCACTTCAGTGTCTAGTATGACCGATACTGTGCCTGTCAGTGTATGATGGTACACCAGCATGAAATCTTTACTCGTGCATAACTGGCTGAAGCCTTGACCTCCCAATAAGGAAACTTTTGAAGTCCAAGATTAGCGATGATCAGCATCTGTGCAACCACTTCGTAGAATCGAACCACCAAGAGTTCAATCTTTTGTTTTTACAGTATGTAACACTCAGTGAGCAACAATTGAACCAATAATCCACATATAGCAGATTCATGTGTTTTACGGTTTGAGTTCTTTGCCAGCAAGTATTCACATCTATATCTCTCATTCCTTTATCGTCCAGTAGGTGGCAGCATTGAAGCACAGTGAACTTCAACATCACTTTACCTTGAACTGGATCCCTCAACCAGACCTGTAGTGTCTATTCTTTCCACTGTGTTGAAAGTTGTTAAAGGGCACAATCTTCCAGGAGAAATGGCCTCTGGAGGGCTGGTGGACTTGAGGTACTAAGAGGCACTGAAAAGCTGGAAAGTCATATTTTTCACAAAGGTTTTCACATGCTGCCTTGAGCTCCTGTTGACAATGAAATCAAACTAAAGCAATAAAATTATTTTTGGAAGTGCTTATGAAAAGGAATCTGATTCTTGTATTGCTTCAACAATGTCCTTCACATGATTGGTTTGGGAGTCCAAAGCCTATTTAGAATCTATCTTATTGCATCTTAGTCATTACTGTATGAGTTTCTATAGCATGAAGGCTGTAAAAAGTTATCATTTATAGATAAAAAATATCACAACACACAAACTCGTAAAAAAGATCTAGTCATCCTCTTGTCTTCTGGAAGGCAATTGATTTATCTGAATTACACTGGAACACTAGATAAGAGAAACATACAATTTGATATTAGATTAGATTACATTAAATATGTGATTGTTGTGTGCTGTTAAGGATACTGAAATATATGTATACAGTATATGAATTTCTCCCTAAGCCAAGTGCTGTGTGACTCTTTGTCACAGCATGATAATGTGTTTCTTTTAAAAATACACTCAAATCAGTTGTAACATGTTATATCCTCAGGACACCCGTTTCTTAGTTCTTCTTGTTTGGTCCACTGGTTTTGTGATAAAGGTCAGAAAGGATAAATATATTCTTTCTGATCTATTGTGTTCCAACAGCTCCCTCTTTTGACAGCCATAATGTACAGTACCATGAACATCACCTGACTGACATCAGTGATGACCTTCAGCACAGCAGACAGAGGAGCAATACAGTCTGAACTGATACTCTGCTCTAACCAGTGGAAATGCCATGTGCTGTAATGTAGGTGTGGGTTTTATTGTACTGTGAATACAAAATAAAAGTTTACCTACAGGAGGACAGTGTGCAACATATGCTGTATTTACTAAGGTGTTGAAATCTTACTATTTGAATATTGAAGACTTATGCAAATCACACACACACACTCTTTACTGATAAATACAGCTGCTCCTGATCTAACAGAAGTCATTCAATCCTGATCACTCAGCCTCAAACACAATGCAGGTTCTCCTGTGTTTAACGGTTCTGGTTCTGAGTGTACAGGGTAAGAACAGTTACTATTGTTTTCCAATCTTATGTTTCTTCCCTTAATTGCAAAGACAATTACAATGTTTTAACTGACTGTAATATACTGTGTTCTTTTCATGTAGAACTGCACTGTGTCCAGTTAACACAGTCGGCATCGGAAATCGGAAAGCCAGGACAGTCCCTACGGTTGTCCTGCCAGGTGTCTGGATACTCCCTGACCGATAACAGCTATGCTACACACTGGATCCGACAGCCCCCTGGGAAGGGTCTGGAATGGCTGGGACACTATTATACTTCTGGAAACAGCTACGCGCCCTCAGTCCAGGGCCGGTTCACCATCAGTACAGACTCCGGGAGCACAGTCTACTTAGAGATGACAAGCCTGAAAGCTGAAGACAGTGGCGTCTATTACTGTGCCCGAGAGTCACAGTGAGGAAGTGCAATTCGCTGACAGTACAAAAACACACTGAGAGAGAACCCTAATTACTTACAAAGAAAACATGAGCTCAATACAGTAATGGCTGTCCAATAGGAAAATCAATAAGTCCTGTCTACCTTGAAATACAGATAGAAATCTTAAAATTTTCCTTTCTTTATATATGAATCTTTGCTCACCTCTTTCACCCACCCTGACAGAGTCTCCTCATTGTCACCCCTCTCACCCCCCTGACAGAGTCCCCTCACTGTCACCCCCCTGACAGTCCCCTCACTGTCACCCCCTCTCACCCCCCTGACAGTCCCCTCACTGTCACCCCTCTCACCCCCCTGACAGAGTCCCCTCACTGTCGCCCCCTTTCATTGCTATGTCTGTGCTCTCTAATTGAGCATCTCTGTTCCTAAAACACTTAAAAACAGAAGAGTTATGCAATATTTCAGACAGCTTTTCACATGCTACCTTGAACTACCGATGTTTGGCTTTGCAATTTTCTTTCCCATACTGCTGTTTGGGTGCACCAATTATATTTTTTGCCTTTTTTTAAAACTTGCTATCGTCTCATAAAGATCATACAGATATTGTAAACTGTACTCTAAAATCCTAAAAAGAAATTAAGAATTCCTGAATAGTATTCATCACTCAGTTCCCTGTACTGTCTTTTCCATTGCAGGTGCATAACCTGTAACAGGGGGTCGCTGGTGCACAGTAAACTGGAGCAAACCCAATCTCAGTTAATCCTATTTTATGAGCTTTCAGACGGCAAACAGCTCCTCCAAGTGGTATCTATTTACCCTGCCTTATTTTTCCTTAATTCTTAGGTCGACCAGATGTCCCCATGGTTTATAGCAGGGGTCTCCAATCCTGGACCTGGAGAGCCCTAGTCCAATTAGTCTCATAGGTCACACCAAATCAGAGAGCCTCCAGCCCTGGTCCTGGAGAGCCCCTGTCCAGTTAGTCTTGCAGGTCACCTTTTTTTACAGATGGGAAGATCTGTGTGCTATTTGTCAATTAACCAATAAAGCATCAGTCCATTTAAGAGACCCCAGTTCTCTAATGGCTAAAGTGTAGTATGATTGTATTGCCTACTTTACTGGTTTTAACATTCTTGATTACATTTGATCAATTGATCACAATAAAATGAGTGTCAAATTGATGATGTGATGGTGGTCAAGAGACCCGGTTGTATGAAACTCCACTGAGTTTTTTTCCTAAAGGTTGAATAACAGTTAAGTCTGCTGCAACAGACAATAGTAGTTTTTGCTATCAAATTCACACAGCAGCAAAAGCTCTTAAATTTTCATTTATCTCTGCTTGTCTTCTTCAATTCCCAAGTGTTCTTATGAGCTTAGAAAACAGGAAACCGGTCATGCCTAGAGCATGATTCAGCTCCTTAGAGAAAACAAAGGTCTTTCTGTCTGTCAGGTTTGATATAATATTTTACATTTAAAAAGTGCCACCTCTTCTAAACATTTCACAACTGCTTTTTCTTTTTGTTCTTACTTTTTGTTTAAAGATAACGTGATACTTACGACTAATTTAAACAGTAGAAACAGCACATTATATTGTTAATGCTCACAACACCTATAATTTAGAACTCCTCATTTTTAGATGTTAAAGATGTTTCACACTTTTGCTGTAATGACTGGGCTGGCGTCCTGCTGTTGCCCCTGACAACAGAAACATTCCCACGAGCACTGTCATTCAAACTTTCAATTAAACCTTCAATCGTTCAATCAGGCTCCTGACCTAGTTCCCAATCACACTAATCATCTCTCTATTTAAGTCTGTTCAGAACGCCGAATCTCCACTCCATCACTAGAGCTAAACCTCATGAACCCAATGATTGCTTTCCTCTCACTATCAAGTTAATAACTTTCTTATTTTCTGATCTTTAAACTCTGATTGTCTGATCCTGAAATATTTTTTTTTCCATTTTAATTTATTCGCCTTCCTATGTCTACTCACCAGCCTGTCGTTTTCTTTATTTTTGGCTGGGGAGCCACGTGTCCCTTTTTATTTATTTATTTTTTCCTTTCTTTTGCTCAAATTCTCCTGCTTTTTAATTCGGCCCCACCTCTATCATCAGCCTGCATTCGATCCTCACTAACTCCTTTATTAACCTCTAAAGGTATTCTAAGTCCTGTGCCTGGGCTTCAACTATATCTCCTGCTGCAGAACTCTTATGCAGAATTAATAATTAATAATTAATAAGTTAACCAATTAACAATCCATATGATAATTGGTAATCCTATAGTTTATAGTGGATATAATATATTCAGGTTGCTCTTACATATTGTTAGTATTTAAAAGAGTTAATTAATTCCTTTGCAATAAGACAAAGTACAAAACACTGCACTCAGCCAAGGACAGAGAGTGAAATGGGAATCTGCAGGCTGGCAGATCACACACATCTGCGATGTTTCCATGGTACCTGGTGTCTCTGTCACACATGCAAATCTGGCAGACCTGTGTTTCCTATTTAAGCCCAGCAGGAGCTGCTGAGCTGTAGAAGCCCCAGGCGCTGCCCCTGTCACTGTGTGAAGAACAGACTGCGCTCTGCTGCTGGAATCATGACAGCTCCTCTGGCCCTGGGTCTCCTGCTCTCTCTGGCTGCCTTGTCCTGTACGTTCCTGAGGGTGTAACTCTGCTTTATTGGATAACCGAACAGTAATAATTACTACCTTAGAACCTGAATCTATTGAGGACCTCAGAGTCACATTAATTCCCTTGTTGTCTTGCAGGTGTCCAGTCCGATGTTGTGTTGACCCAGTCAGAGTCAGCGGTGGTCACACCCGGAGGGTCTCACAGATTGAAATGCACAGTTACTGGGTTTAATGTTGCCGGCTATAGCATGTTCTGGATTCGCCAGGCTCCTGGGAAAGGGCTGGAGTGGATAGTTTACTTTTATTCCAGTTCTGACAACAACTACGCCCCGGCTGTACAAGGAAGATTCACGGCCTCGAAGGACAGCAGCAGTTTGTATCTGGACATGACCAGTCTGAGAGCTGAAGACACTGCAGTCTATTACTGCGCGAGAGACACCGTGCAGCAGGTGGCCTGTAGGGTGAGACAAAATCTAGCAGAACTGCCAGTAGTGTTGACAGGCTTTGTGATCCTTTGTCAATTAAAGAAAAATCAATTCTTGATTAAAATCAGTTAAACGTTATCCCATCTACATATTAGGAAATGTGAAAACAGGCACATATGTAAATTCAAATTTTAGGTTGTTACTAAGTTATGATAATAATTCTGAGGTTGATGTCCACTGATGTACAGTATTCAAGTTAATGAGGATTTGATGTCCACAGTTAATGGGGTTAAACTCTTACATTCAACACTACATTTCAGGAATCTCTTTTTATTATCTTAATGATTGGAACACTTTCAAATATGATACTGATATTATACAACACTGCTTGGCAAGCAAAGATAAAGATATACATTTGAATTTTTATTATTAGTAGTAATAGCAGCAGTAGTATTTAATCCATTAAAATATATCATCACAGAATGCTTCTACACACTATGAGGTCATCTTATATTTTGAACAATTTCACACAAAGAATCAATTTCAGATAAAGGGGAAAAATGTGACAGATGAGCCCAGACTTGCTTCAGAGGTCTAAGTGCTAAGAAGAGAGTGCACATAGAAATGAACTGCAGCCAATTCTGAGTTGACTAAGTGGCCCAACTGAGCCAAATATATCCATCCCTCAATCTGTTTAATTTCAGTTTACAAATCACCAATGGAAACCTCAGGACCTAGGAATGGAGTCAAATTGAGGTGCTAATTACTGTACCTCAGGTTAATTGGTCTTATCTAAAAACTCAGAAAAAACCCAGAGGTTCCAGAGGTATCCACAGGACAGGAATACTACAGCTGACAGCAGGGATCTCACTACCAGCGTGTGTGAGGACACTAGTCCTGACTCATACTGTATACCCCCACCTCATCACCAGCTTACAATTACATTTTTGAGAAATGGCCTTTTCACCCCCAATGATGTTTCTAACGCAGTAGCAGGATGTAAAATATGCCTCTACTGACTCTTGAGATTTAAATGTAACTTGATTTTTTGTACAGTGAAAACAGACTGACTGTGATCATTACTGCTCCAGCAGTTCTGTCTCTCACTTGTCCCCTCATAATAACATCAATGTGAAGCGTTTGTAGACTTTACCAATAAGAAACTGTAGTGAGGTGCTTATGGACCAACATTTTGAATGCATTATGACACCTTAATGCATTATGCATTATGAGCATTCTGCAAAGTACTGTGTATACTGAGGTGTTGAACAATTCCTATGTTAATATTGAAGACATGCAAATCAAGCACACATACACTCTACAGATAAATACTGCTGCTCCTCATATAACAGAAATTACTCATTTCTGATCACTCAACCTCAAACACAATGCAGGTTTTGGTGCATTTAATGCTTCTGTTTATCAGTTTCTGGGGTAAGAACAGATATTCTTGTCTTCCATTATTGTTCTTATTTTTGTGTTTCTGCCCCTTGTTGTTAAGATAATTACAGTGCTATAAATGTCAATAATACACTGTGTCATTTCCCTGCAGATCTACACTGTGTCCAGTTAACACAGTCGGCATTGGAAATCGGAAAGCCAGGACAGTCCCTGCGGTTGTCCTGCCAGGTGTCTGGATACTCCCTGACTGATAGCAGCTATGCTACACACTGAATACGACAGCCCCCTGGGAAGGGTCTGGAGTGGTTGGGACACTACTATACCACTGAAAACAGCTACTCGCCCTCAGTCCAGGGCTGGTTTACCATCAGCACAGACTATGGCAGCACAGTCTACTTACAGATGACAAGCCTGAAAGCTGAAGACAGTGGTGTCTATTACTGTGCCCGAGACTCACAGTGAGGAAGTGAGATTCACTCACAGTCCCCTCACTGTCACCCCTCTCACCCCCCTGACAGAGTCCCCTCACTGTCACCCCTCTCACCCCCCTGACAGA